TTTCCAACGATTGTTTCATCTATATTTCAATCAATCGTATAATGTGTAAAGAAAGAGTTCATATTAAAGTACATCAAAGATTTTATTGATCTGACAATATTTTTAATAGTCATTTAATCCTTTCTTTTTTATCTAGTTATTCAATAAATTAGTTCCAATGACATGTGGTAAGAAGAAAGTTTTATTTTATTCAATTTATTTCTATAATTTTTGAATTTTCAAAATCAATAAATAAGAAAAAGATTTTGATTTCATTTATTTGTTTATTTTCATAGATATATTTCGAGCCATCTGTAGCAATCGATTTGGATTTAGCTATGAAAATAGTCAAGTGAACTATTTATTGCCCAACAAGTTTATCAAAGTTAGATACATTATTTAGAATCAACAATAAGAAAAGATCAATAAATTATAATTTATTCTTAATTCATTTTTGTTTCCTAGGTGGTCAAATCGATGTTTCCAGTCCTGAAGGTAACAGGTAAACAAATGATATCATTTTAATTTCATTGAATGATTGTGTTTTGTTTTTTTCTCTAATTTTCAGATTACCAGATATAGCTGGTTCAAAAGAAAAATCTACAATAATTCATGATCGAAAAGGATTGATTAGTATGGATATAACAAAAAGTATAAATGAATTTATTATTACATTAGGTAACGATGTATGATGATTTGATCAGAATATATCTTTATATTTCTATCATTTCTAGGTCCTGCTCCAATGTTGAATGATAACTATGTAAGTTATAACATGTCATTTTATATAAATGATTTATTTGATTTCTATATTCATTAGGTTGTATTCGGTGAAGTTATCAGTGGAATGGCTATTTTTGATTCTATTAATGCTTGTGGTAGATTCAATCGGTTTGATATCACATATAATTCTAATCATTCATTTGTTCTTCATTTTTTTAGGTGTTCGTAATCAAGTTGATACAGTTAATGGTGATGGTCAACCTTTTGATGCTATTTCAATTTATTCATGTAGTTAGAAATAAATCAATTTATGCAATTTCAACACATAGATTGTTCTTCTCAGAACTGAAAGAATTTTTTTTTTGTTTTTTTTCTAAAAAGAGAAAAAAAACTACAATTTCTCATGTGCTCAAAGAGTTTTTCTCTTGTATTTCATCAATAAAGTCATGTTGTTTTTCTTATTGTTTATATTCTTCACAAAAGAAGAATATTCGAAGAGTATAATTATTATTTTTGTTGTTTTTGTTTACAAATCATAATTAACAAATTCTTCTCACAATGGAGGTGCTTGTACTGTAAATTGAAAAACTCAAATATACTAGTGTGAAAAAAAAGACTAGAGATAGCACTTTAACTTTAAACTTTAAATATTAAAATGGTTGAAGTTAAAGTAAACATTTCACTATAAAACAAAATTTTTATTAAAAATTCATAAAAGTGAATAAACATTTATGAAAGTACCTATAATTCTTCAGGCACTGTAAAAATGGGATTATTCATAGGTAATCATCTACTATATAACGGGGGTTATCATTGGGTCATCAACTATTGTATATTGGGAATACCCTTAGATGATCAACTACTATATAATGGAGGTATCCTCGGATAATCAACTACTATATATTGGGAGTACTCTTGGGTCATCAACTACTATATAATGGAGGTACCCTTGGATCGTCCACTACTAGGGGTCTCGCATTAGCATTAGCATTGGTATTATTTAGCATTAGCATTAATTAATGCTTTGCATTAGCATTAAATTAGCATTATTTTTAATGCTAATGCAAGGGTATCTAGAGGTCTTCATGGTCTATACTATAAGAGTATCCTTAGGTCTCCAATGGCTACCCTATAGGAGTATCGTTGAGTCCTAAAGACCTGTCTTATAGAGGCATCTATAAGTTCTCATGAGCTACTCTATGAGAGTATTCTTAGGTCCCATAGACTACTCTATAGAGGTATCATAGGTGCTCAAAGCCTAACCTATAGGGATACCCTTAGATTCCCATAGGCTACTCTATAGAGGTACCCTTATGTTTCTATAGGCTACACTATAGAGGTACTCTTACGTTCTGAAAGCCTATCCTATAGAGGTATCCTTATGTCTCCATAGACTACGCTATAGGATACCCTTAGATCTTCAAGGCTTATTCTATAGAAACACTGTTACGCCTCATCGGCTACCATGTAGAGGTATCCTTAGGTCCTCAAGACTTATTCTATGAGATGTGAATACGTCCTTAAGGACTCTCTTTTGGATGTATTGAACTGCCCTGAAACCCACCAATAGAAGTACTCATATGCGCTCAAGGGCCACTTTGTGGGACGAGGCATAGATCTTTTATATCTTTCGAATGCGTGTATTGATGCGTCATCAAGCTCAATTCTATAGAAGTACCCTTAGGCATGCGTACTGCAACTTTAGGCCAATTCAAGAAGCTGCGCCTGAACATCTATGTCTCCTGCCAATCACCTAAATCTGTTTTTCACATCTTGGACTCAGCCGCCATGAGCTGAGTAGGTGGAACTATCACACACCTAATGGTGAATCGACCTTTTGGGAAAGAGGAACTGCAACTCGATGGTAATTTGTTCAATGGAATCTCCTTAGCACCATAGTAATCATGAGTAAAATACACTCTATTATGTAACTCTTTTGTGTTTAGCTGAATAAAACAGTCCATTCTTGCTTTCATAAAGAAAAGAGAAATACATCCATCTTACGTTAGCCTGTGTCTCAGTATTTCCTACCACATTCCACACTAATTAATGGGTCATTTACGAGTAATGTTTTCTCACAGGTTTGCAAGTTACGTGGAAAAGCGCTTGAAAAACGATGAAGACTCACAGTAGACTTCTGTTGAACGGTTAAGAGCATCCGAGATTCATTTGAATGAGACACGTTCAGGAGGAGTCAAAAGTACAACACGATAGTCTTTGAAAAGGTACGTAGCGATACGAAACGCCGATAACACTTCAGAACCTTGTTGATGCTGGTCATGGATGGCAATTAAAGATTTATGGAGATCCTAATGCGGTAGCTCTTAAGGATCTGTGGGTGCAAACATAGGATAGGCCTTAGGACCTATCCTATATGCTGCAAGATGGTCCATCAAAACCTATAGATACTCCAACAAGATAACCCTTTCAAGGCTTATGCATGTTCCATACGATAGACCTTGAGGACCTAACGGTATTCCTATAGGATAGGCCTTGAACACGTATGAGTATCTCTATAGAGTAGTCTATGGGATCTAAGAACATTCCCATAGGAAAACCCATGAGAACTTATGGATCTCTCTATAAGATAGGCCTTGAGGACCTAAGGATACTCCCATTGGGTAGCCTATGAAGACCTAAGGATATCCTTATAGTATAGTCCATGAGGACTTCTAGATATCCCTGCATTAGCATTAAAAATAATGCTAATATAAAGCATAAATTAATGCTAATACTAAATGATGCCAAAGCATCAGTGTTATTCTTAATGCTAACGCTTTTAGCATTAGCATTATATTAATACAAATGCTAATTTGACACTCCTAGAAAAGACTATAAGATCTTCAACAGAAGAACAACTCCTTGTTCCGTTTATAAACATAAACATCTATCTCATATTCACCAGAAATTAGTGTTACATGTAGACTGTTCTTTCTATTATCAAATATCATCACTACTCATAGAAAAGAAAAATTGAGAGAAGTAGCACATATATGGGCGTGCTCAACCATATGATACCCCAATTCATATTTGATTATGTGGCTTCATCCACATATCAGAAAAACGTGATTTTTTTACCAGTTATAGTACACATATAGTGCTAATGATCTGTCATTGTTTGAGCTCTATCTCTCACTAGAATCAGGGATTAACAAGTATTTCCTTATAAACATTTTGTTAAGGTACTTCGTATCTAATTTGTTCACATATACCTAGTTTTACTTGGCATATTTTGGGTAATGAAAAGTTTTCTACTATGGTTTTACTAATCGCATGGATATTGTAATAAAAAAGAATTTTCACTCAGCAATTTATTCAAACGTTATTAAGCCCCCCCCCCCCCCTCTAAAAAGTTAGTTTTCGTCAGAATGGTCAAGACTGCGATAGATACATGGGGAGATAGCCTGTCATTTGCTCTTTCATAAACGATAAAAACTTTGCTTCGATACCTCCTTTTTTCCGAAAAACTTTCAATATTTTTGACGACCCCTATTCGAAAAATCGCTGGTTTTTCGAAAAACCCAAAAATCATTTTCGTTTTTTCTCAAAATGGTGGTCGAATTACGTAGCTCCACTAAAAGTCAACTATAATCCGATATAAAGTCAAATATTTTTTGTTTGTTTGATAGAGTATCAAAAACTGCAGTACCTATGAGGGCTCTTTTTTTGATTAAGCTTTCCTATTATTATATTGAAAACCGATTTTATAATATAAGCATCCTTTTTTTGAGGGATTTTTGAGTGAATGAATTTTTGAACCCTTTTTTTCTTATTAAAGATAAGAATTTTAAAAAAAGGGTCCTCATAGGCACTGCATCCTGACATGCTCTTTCAAATGAAAAACCAATGAACCATATTGAATGAACACCCATAGAGATTTTTTGGGGCTACGATAAGCTATTTTTCGATCCTTGTTTGGTTCTTATCTACCTTATACATAAGGATAGAAGGCTGAAACTTTTATCACGTGCGTCCTATCACAGGCCCAACATATACTCAAAATACCAGCCTGTTTGGATGTTCCTGGGCTGAGATCAATTTTTGAGGGGGGGGGGGGGCTTAACAACAATATCTAGACTTATACACATTCATACCTGCTTAAGCATGTATTGTGCCTATCACAAACGCATATCATTGCCCGTGAGACACGTGAGGGAGATGGTATTTTTTCCTTTTTTCTTTTTCCTCTTAACTTTATCTTATTCTCGGTGCATATTTTGTACACAACAGTATTTGATCTATTCTATTGTATCTTGTATTTCAGTTACATTATTCTTGTTCTAACTCGAATCGATTTTTCCTCGCTTTTGTTCGCTCTGCTTTTTCTTCAAAATATTTTCATTCAAGTATAAACACTTTAATCTTTGCATTATGTTCCCTCCACAAATTGAATGGAACTGGTCTCAATGTCGATCTGCTGTAACTGATCGTCAAAAATATTGCTCCAACTGTCACTCGATGTTAACCTACACATGTATTGGATCAGGGAAATCTGGTTTATACACGAACTATTATCGGCATCGTGACAGCTGTATTTATTGCACGTCAGAACTCGAAGAAGACAGACCACAGAAAATGGTAGAGAAACAAGTTGCTGTTCAACAATTTTAAACTTTAGATGATGGTAAATAACATTCGTTCTCTCAGTTTACACGTATGCTTCCCATTTCATTATTTTGTGTCACAAGAATATACAACAACGAATCACTGATATACTTTTTTGTTTGCATTTTGTAGAACAACGCCCGTGGTCTCGATGAAGTCGTACTAATGAATCTTGTGTACAACATACCGGACATGATCTTGAACAAGTACAAGAGTTATATTCGATGTGTGAACAATCACTTATAGATTACTGCTACTATCGAAACAAGGAACATTCAAATAGTACCAGCAAACCATCTTTATCTCCTATGAATTTACTTGTGGTTACGTTATGGTACTTAAAGCATTATCATGCTGAACGTTATATTGCTACCGAATTCGATCTGAGTCCATCAACGGTGCATCATATTTTATCAAAGGCTGTGGATATCTTATATTCATGTGTATGTACAGAACTAATTTCATTACCTACTGATATGTCCAGCTAGCGGCGTAACCAGGTTTTTGATGGTGATGGGCTGTGATGGGGCTCAACTACTCAAATTCTGCCCAGTAGCAGGGCTCGCAATAGAATTTAGCTGGAGCGACTTTGCCAGGTGATGGGGCTCAAGACCCCAATGATGGGGCTGAACCCCAGCTGGCTCCAGCTTGGTTACGCCACTATGTCCAACAGAACTACAGCACATGGACCTGAAGAACATCATAAATTAATAGTTGATTCAGCTTCCATCGCCGCTCCGCAACCTCATGATTCACAACAACGTAAAGCATATCTCCATTCGAAAAGCGCAACAAATTATGCATTTAAAGTACAAATAGCTTGTGACTTTAATCATCGAATAGTACATGTATCCGAATGTTATCGTGGAAGTATACATGATATTACAATTCTAAGAGAGTCAGGTCTATTAGAACGTGTAGACAACTCTGTGCAAATTATTGCCGACAAAGGATATGTTGGTGAAGATTATGTAGTAACCCCAAGAAGGAAACCACATGGTCGTGAATTAGCAGATGAAGACAAAGATTTTAATCGTGTTATTAATAGTGCAAGAGCAGCTGTGGAAAATGTTAATCAACGTCTTAAAACTTATGTAATTCTTGGTGGTGTGTACAGAGGAGCTATTGATGATTTTGATAAGACTACCAAGATCGCACAGGTCGTTTGTGCTTTATGTAATCTAAATTTAAGTAAACATCCTATTCGCAAATAGAGAGCGTGAAAACTTATCTGTCCTTTTGATTAACTATTTGAAAATAAAGCTTTGTTTCAAGTACTTTAAGTTGTTTTAATTTTCTACATAAGAACTGATGTACGTTAAGAGATTAGATGTGACGTATTTTAACAAAATGTTTATAAGGAAATACTTGTTAATCACTGATTCTAGTGAGATATAGAGCTCGAACAATGACAGATCATTGGTACCATACTTGTACTATAATTGGTAAAAAAATCACGTTTTTCTGATATGTGGATGAAGCTACATAATCAAATATGAATTGGGGTATCATATGGTTGAGCACGCCCATATATATACAGTTGTTCATTACAACGGAGGTTTTCATTTGGTATTTAAATAATTGGTATAACATACAAGAGAATGCACGAAAGACACTTTGATAAAAACAAATTAATTGTTCGAATTTGGTTTTGCAGCATGAAAATAAGTTTTTTTCTGAATATCTCACGGAGAAGTTGCGTCCTATTCCAAATAATATCGTTTGATAGAGGACTCAATAAACTTTCTTTTTCATATAAAATATATAGCTTTTAACAATCTCTCCTGCGAAATAGAGTTTATTTTTTCGACTGCTACCAACAATGATGAAAAACTGATGACACAAAAGATATCATAAAAGCGTTCATTTCGACCGTTATAAAATATGTAGAAAATTTCTTTTTTTGTAACGCAATAGTGCTCTATCTTTACATTATAAAATCCATATCAGACGAATAAAAAGATAATCTATCTAATTATAGGAATTTTTTTCTAAGTTCAAAAAAAATGCGGAAGAGTTTTCCAACGCCTTCTGTTCTAAGATTGTTGTAGTTTTCGAAAAACATTTCCAATCAAATTCTTTTATATATTTTTGCACTAGACACTTTGCTCTTTCTAACAAAAAAAAATCAAGTCTCCACGACATTGCGTTGCAGAGTTATATCAAAAACGAGATTAATGCAAAACTTTTGCCCACCCGTTATATATGAAAAAAAGATTTTCTGATAGTTTTCTTAAGAGTCTTATGTAAGATTCCTAGAAAACCAGCATGCCTCGTGTAGTCGCGATATTGACTTATTTATTTTCAGGAGTGCATTAGAACTGCCACTCGAAGAACTATAAAACTGCATAAAGTTTCTAGTTCTAGCTACAATCAATAAGATATCGTAGCCATTGAAGTGCAAGTTATCACGCCATTTTTCTAAGAAAATAATCGAAAAATATACGTTTTTTCTTGTATTTTGATGAAAAATACCTTTTTTTTTAAGCATATCTTAAAAAAAGCCATTCTTTGAGAACGTTTGACTAAAACTCTTAGGAAAGTATTCAGAAAATGCATCTTCATCGTCTCTTTCCAATGACAGAAACCGCAGCTCTCCATGTCATTCTCTTCAAAAGTTATTCGAAAAATATTTACTTACCTTGTTTTTTGAAATGAACATTAGATCCAATAAGTAAACATAATATTGATATAGTTTATATCAACCATGAAGAATGATAATTAAGTAAATATCAATATCCAGTGATTGTCAAGACCAATTACAGTAGTATAGAAGGAAATGTAAGGGTACCGATGTTAGTGTATCTGAGAGAATAGTAATATCCACACCCCGGCTTGTAGAGCAGTATACAATGCACAGACAGCTGAAGATTCAGTGAAGCAAGTTACTAATGCGAGTGTTCTTTGTTGTGTAACCGATAAGGCGGCATGACCAGTGCTATCGATTGCCCTCGTATGAGTAGAGTTCAAAATCACAAAATTAAAGAAAATTGTCACTATAATCGAAAGTGTACTATTGATAGATTATCAAACATGTTGCAAGCTCTGAGATACTCAGCAGACGAGTGATATAAACTCCATTTTTCGTCCGACAGATATCTAAAAAAGAGATTTATTGACTAATTTCATCCTGAAGTTCTAATGTGATTCCATTATGAGAGTAAAACTGTCACTGTACTGTTCATGAATTAGAAAAACTCCATGACGAACAGTATATTTACATTTTTATTCGATACAGTTACGCTTCTATTCTAAAAGCTTGTGAAAAGTTGAAGAACTTTCATATAGAACATGTATTTTTAATGTCCCTTCGTTTCATAGTAAAATGCTAAACTCTTGTCTCATCCTAAAAAAGAATTTCATTTGTGATGGTCAATATCTTTTGAATGACTCAGATTTAGCTAAAGGAAAATCAATGAAAGTTTTAATCGTGGTAGATCTAAATAGGATGAAGATTTCAGCGAGTTTGCATTGATTATTGCTGAGATATAAGTGTCACAATGTAAAAAAAAAATGGAATTCCGTGACGCTTGGCCATGATCTAGACGTTAAATGAATACTATATATGAATGGTTCAGACATCACCCTTGTATCGTCAATGTGGACAAATCAAGCAATTATCTTTCTATAACTATTGATAGATTAGTTTTATGTTGTAGGAAATTGTCTCCGAAATAAATAGATAACAAAATCTAATATATTAATAATTTCATATAATCTATTTACTTTTTAATTGTAACTGATCTTGCCAATAGCGTTTAATAATTGATAACCTATAGTTAAGTCACTTTTCAATCAAAATCACCTAAATTAAGATAAATGCAGGAAAAGATAACGCGTGATTTGATCTCTCATAAATGACAAAAATTTTTACTCGACACTTCGTTTTTTTTCCAGAAATTTTTGAAGATTTCCCTCATTCCCTATTCGAAAAACAAGCTGTTTTTGAAAAAAACCAAAAATCTTTTTTGTTTTATAGGTTTTCGATTGCATCTCCAAGAATTCTTGAAGAAACTTCATTGTAAACAATAACTTCTTTTTTGTTTAAAAACTGATGTTTAAGACTGACCCCTCTCGTGGCACTTTTTTTAAAATAAGCTTTGCCATTATCATACAAGAAAACATCGTCATATTTTTAAGGAGTTTTTTGAGTCATTGAACTTTTCATCCCTTTTCTTCGCTTAAAAAGTAAAAACGACTACGAGAGAGGTTAGCCCTAAACACAACCTTTCAAACAAAAAAAAAAATTTAAATGTATAGAATGAAGGTTCACAGAGAATTCTTAGAGATACGATCGAGCTATCTTTGAGCCTTGTTTAATGAATATATCTATCAAACGTCATGATATAGGGCTGAAAATTTTACCATCAGCTCCAATATCCTGAAAATTTCATGCAATTTGGATGTTCTTGGTCTGAGACCGATTTTTGAGGGAGGGGAGGAGGGGGGCTTAATTCACTTGACAATAACCTCTCATAGTAGACTACAATTGTTCAAGTAGATTGACATGACTAAAAAATCTAATAGTTTTTTTTTCGTGACTAAACTATATTTTATGATGTATGTCCATTTAAATTATTATAAAATCTTAATGTGATTTTATTATGGTTTTCTAAAAAAAACTAATAGATTTTATGATAATTATCAATTAAATCAGTTCCATATATGATGATACCACTGTCATTATTATAAACTATGATACATATGTCCATAAACAGAGAATAGATGAAATATTTTATTTATTTATAAAAACATGATTAAATAAAAGCAACGAATATTAAATTGGGTGAAAAGTTAACGAAGCTATCAGATAATAATAACTACAATCAAACATTTGACTAAGTAGTTTTCGAAATAGAATTCATTGAAAATAAAAACGATTTAAGAGAAATCTACAGAAAAGTGTTTTATTACTTAGCTATAGTCTATTTCGGTTGAAATTTCATCAAAATTGTTTTCTCCACAAAAATGACTCTTTTTCTACATATGGTTTGATAGAAATCGATGAGATTATTTCTAATCTTTGTTTAGTTTTCTCTTCAAAATGGAATATGAATGACAAATATTCGATTCGTCACATTTTGGGGAACCATCAAAAATAGCTTAGGACAGAATTCATCAATAATTGTGACAATCATTATAATCATAAATATCTATCAATATATGGTCAAAATTTAAATTCAATCATACGTTATCTCTTTATACAATTTACAATATAGAAAGTAATTAGTACGTTTTCAGATAGATTTTTCATTTAGAAATCTTTTGATTTCTACTCTATTTTAAATTGAATTAAGTAAATTTTCTTTAATATAAACTTTATAGATGAGCAAGTTGTTTTTTAGATATTATATGCTTGTATAATATTCTGTTCATTTTTCGATTGGCTTGACTTTCTTTATTTCAATGAATTTATAAGCTAAAGCTTTGGTAAGCCCTTTTATCGTGGGATGCTCAAGGTTTTAGAATATTATATATCACGTATATATATATATCAGATGGCCCAAAAGTAAGGAAACAAAAATGGTATGCTATAATAATGAATAATAGATTGTTAATGATCTTCTTTACACTTTTTATTGATGTGGAAAGCTGAAACTTTCAGACATAAAAGATTTTAACTAGATATATATGTGATAAAGATTTTAGCTCTCTACATCAATAAAATGTATGAAAAATATCATTAACAATTTATTATTCATTATTATAGCATACCCTTTTTGTTTCCTTACTTTTGGGCCATCCGGTATACGTATGTATTTACCCGAAGAATTTGATTGTGGAAAACAATATATTTGTTGTGCGGATATTGATATTACCTCTCGCTGATCTTTCTTTTCTCTTTCCTGTGCTCATCTCTCTCTCTTTTTCTCCTATATAAGCATGTGTTGTATATGGAACAGACACATTCTGGAGATGTGAAGTAGCTAAATAAATGTCATTACCGAGAATGACAGTTAAGCTACTCCATCCAGTTGGTCGGTGACATTTGTATATGTCGATCTGATTCCTGACAATATAACTACATTAAATGTATATGTTTCTATTCAATAAGAATAACTGCAAAATAAATTAGTATTTCAAAATGTTTTTCAATTTGTCTCCCTGTTGTCGAATTATTTCAGAAATATAAGGTATCCAAAAATTATAGGACCCCTCATTGTTTTTGAAAATGTTTTAATAAAGATGGATAGTTAGATCAAATCTAAATAGT